GCTAATGACAACCATTTCAACAGGCATTATTCATGAGGCCTTCTGAATTTTTTGAAATGTCAAATTTTGCATTGCCTTGCTTCGAGGGTTTACTAGTGAAACTAAACTGCACCGATGCGGTTCTTATACCATGGCACTTATTTTATTTAAGTAAAATGTTAAGAATGGTGTTGGGGTTAATTTAGATGGCTAAATCATTTGACATAGTAGTAAGCTCGTCTACTCATAAAAAATGAGTAGATATGTATTTCTTTTTACAAAGCCAAAATTAAAACTTGTTTATTTGATATCACACCCTTACATTACGGCATTTAAAATCCTCTTTTCCAGAAATTTTTAAAGTGTGGATTAAAAATGAGAAAAAAATTGGAAAAAAACTACTGTTGTTTGGTTTTATCCAGGGAATTGAAGTTAATTTCAGTGTACAAATTTCAAATTTTGTGAAGTGATATTTGTAAACACCTATTCTAGTGCATTAAAATGGTAAACAATTTGACATTTAAATGGAAAAGAACTGAAGATACAGCTAGTATTTATCAAAAGCCAAATACGTCTTTCTTTACGTTAATGCAGTAACACTAAGCAATGCTGGCAACTTAGAAGGAACAGTTATTTAGGTTGTGAGCTTTTCTGCACTAGCTCTTTAATTTCGGCTGCTTGGATATCGCTTTATTGTCACAATCTCTTTTTTGCATAGCTCTACACATTTATAATAACATTGTATCCAGATTCGCGTTCCAAAATTGTTGAAAGCAGTAAGCGACCCACAATCCCGGTTTTGTTGACCGACGGTGGGACGACCGTGGAACCCACCACACCCAAATTTCGTGATTGGGAGCATGGTCGTAAACGAATTAATTGACCCCATAATATAAGGGTTCAAAGATATCTGTCATAATCCCGATTGAATTATGAAATGATATGCTTCCCTGCCCTCTAAGAGGCATCGGTTGGTAGGGCGAAATAAAAGGCCGACATTAGGTTAGTGAAGCCAACTGTCACACTAGTAAATAACTGCTTTTTTAAAGAATAGGTCTCTACGAATTGGGATCGCTATGAAGCGTCGATCTTACTTGAGCAGGGCAAAATCATTGAATCTCCACAATACAGTAGATCGTGACTAGATGTGCCGCCAACGCTGGGATTCGATAATTTTCCACCTTCATAGCCAATAAGTTATTCATCTTGTTCAGTTTGCAAAGCACGAACCACATAGCAGAGCAACGCTTGCTGAGGTTGTACGCCTATCTGGGCAAGAGTTTCGTTGTTTTTTGGTCACCACTTTGGTGTTGTGGTCTTTCATCAATCTCCCTTCTCCTAAAAGGTCACTCATGTATAAGGGAAACTCGAAGATAATAACAAATAAATGCTTTCACATTACACACAAAAATTAGCGCGTTTTTTATCTTTAATTTATTTTAGCCTGTTTCTGTAGCGCGAAAATGCAATTTGGTTTGCTTACATGAACCTATCTGCTGTTCATTTGATCTTTAATAAGTTATGAAGTTTTTTCAAGTTGCTTAAATACGGACAAAAACCCCTGGGAAGGAAGTGAAGTCCCACACATAGCATTCATTTTACATTTGTCTCATGCACAGGACACTTCTGGAAGCGCAAGCATCTCCCGTAAATTAGACGATTCTTCATCGATGTAGGAAACCTATCAAATCATTTTATTTATAAACAAGTTATCTAACACCACAGTATTAATGAGAGTATACCTTATCCTTTGTACAGCATAAGTATAATCGTCCATTAATTTCTAGGCTTCACTACGAAAATGAGTACTTAAATTAGCTATGAGGTTAATGTTATTTTATGAAATCTTATTAATAGGTAAGACAACTGTCAACTTTTAACACCGTTTGAGTGAAATGACCCCACCGATTTTGATCCTCTAAAAGTCTACTTTTCCCAGATTTTCCACTATTCCTGCCTCGGAAGCATTGAGAAGAGAACCTGATTGGTTGAATCACTACCCAATGACATCGCAACTCCATCTGCCTAAGGATTAGGGCGACTGCATTCTCAATATCACAGCAGAATGTCAGCGAAAGTGGTTGATTTAAATGTCGGCGGATGCTTCTATACCACACAGTTGAGTACTTTGACCACAGTTCGAGGCTCGAAGCTCACCAAGTGGTTCAGTGAGTCTCCCTGCACTCTACCCTTAGATAAAAGCGGTCGTATATTTATCGACAGAAACGGAGAAATTTTTTCCTACATTTTGGACTATCTACGCGATCCAAAGAGCGTTGTCCTCCCTGAATCAACCACAACATTGAAGCGCCTTCGAATTGAGGCAGAGTTCTACGAGTTACCCAATCTAATTGCAGCGATTCAAGATACTAAACGGAACGCACCGTGTACTATTACCCTGAGCTACAGGGCGCAGATCCCCAATGGTCGAGACACTTTGGTAGACGTTCGATTTCGAAGAATTACACGTATTCTCGTCTCCGGTAAGAGTTCGGTGTGCCGAGAGGCCTTTGGTGAGACCTTGAACGAAAGTCGAGCGCCTGATTGTGGACCTGAGGATAACCGCTACTCGAATCGGTACTATCTTACACACAACACCCTCGAGATGGCGTTTGATAAACTGTTGGAAGCTGGATTTACTCTCGCCGGGTGTTGTGGCGAGACGTCGGTAGAAACAGGAAACCAGAGAAGCAAGTCAATAGGAGATTTTGATGGAAGCAGGAACCAATTTTTCCACGAATTCTATTTTGTCCGGAAAAAGTGATTTTACAGGCAGTCAGACACCAAAGACAACAAGATAAAGTTTTTTCGTTTTCTCCTGTCTTCTACTTGCAATAAAATGCAACAGATCTGTTGTTGCAATTTTTCGGACTTTTTGCTTCTTAAGGGAAAGCAATTTTAGCTAATAACATTTAAGACTTTGGTTCTAGCAGCAATTAAATTAGTATGAGGTTGGAGGAGAGAAGGACCGAGGTAGAAATCATTGTCTGTCCAAAGCTCAGCAGTGCTACAGTGGATCGTCCAGTTCTGTCCCAAAACTTTGTTATGTTTTATGTCCACAATACAATTTCATTCTGGTTTATTGTTCCCGAGGAAGATAAGACATTCATAATCAGATGGGTTGAGTGGCTAATTTGGACCCTCTGAGTCTCCGATTACCGCCAACTCTCAATTGTCTGATGTGATGGGGATTATGTATAGAATTCATAAAAATTCTCCAAGAATTCAATACGTTTTTTGCATGAAAAGGTCCACAACTGGTTGAGTTGTTTTAATTTGGGCAGAATATTATCTTTCACAATGCGAAAAAATAAAGTGCAGCTGTTAATATCAGCTCCAGCATAACGGGGAGAAGTAGAACAAATTTAGGAACATTGATAAATACACCCCAATAAATTAAAGTAAATTTACGAGTATTTTTGCCTAATGTAAGCGTGTATGCATTAAACCATGGATTTTTTTAAAAAATAGGTCTTTTTGACTTTATAAGAACTAGTTGATGTATTCCGGTGTATATGTCAATCACAAAGGTGGTCCACGCAGATTTTGTGGATTCAAGTTAATGGAATCGCCAATAAATTAGGTAACGAAGTCCATTTCTATGGCGACTTATTCCGTCCAACAACTTTGATCGCAAAATGTGGTTGCCTTAAACAAAAAACTTAGACAATGATTTTTGCAAGTTGTGTTAAGTTTTCCTCGGGTTTCAAGACAGCAACTTCGTTAAACGTGCCAACGTAAGCAGAGCAAGATGTATAAATGGAGGACTAAACGTGACGGTGGATTTGCAATTAAAGCTAAATTATAAAACAGAATTAATAGGAGTAACATTTAGGTGTGTCAAGAGAGAACATACCCTCTTTTATTTCTGTCTTACAGGATTCACATATATCTAATATTTTTATTAAAAGGTTGGAAGAGTCCAAACACGGCCACAGAATGCGAGTAAAGGGAAATAAAAAAATAAGATCTCAAGACTTCGTTCAAAGATTCATCTTTACTCAAATAAGATAACAACTAGACAGACAAATCCTTTTAAACATTTTCAATTTAATAAGGAAAATTCAATTTGTTAAAAGGAGTCGTTGTTTTCATTTAAACAAGGGTGTGACTAAAAATAAATTCACATAACTCTTAAGTGAACGATAGAGCAAAGGCAAAGTGATCTATCAGAGTTACTTTAATGCACCTTTTTAAGAAAACAACAACTAGAGAAATTAATAGGGGAAATTTTGTAGGTTTTTAGGAAACTGAAGCATAGAGACAGCTTCTCAAGATAACCTATTCGATAAAAAAAATCACACGCATT